TGTCTGAGCCCATCTCTACTAGCTCTTTCCCACCACCAGGCCTTCAGACTGCTGTTTGAAATGTGCCCCTTGCGATGTGCTTCCCAGATCATGCAACCAATGAGAAATGAGGTCCTACTACCCCTGCAGAGCTCTAGAAATTCTGCAGCATTTCCTACAGGGCTCCTGCCCTCAGGGAACTCACAGGAGTGTGGGAGGGAGATGCAAATGAGCACAGTACAAAGTTAGTCAAGTCCTTTTTGCAAGAATAAGCATGGATGAGGGGATGAGTGGAAGAGCCGCCAACCAACCCTTTATGCCCTAAGGAAGCATTAATGACTTGGAATTGGGAAGCTAGAGCTCCCAGCAGCCCTTTTCACTCCTCCGCTCTGTCCCTGGACAAAACAGGAACCAGAAACCCTGGCTTCCTCTCTCAGAAAGGCTGTGGCTTGGGGCAGACGGAAATGGCTGAGGTGTGAATTCAAGACCTGAGTCACTCCTCTGCAGTTGCCACATGTCCCTTCCCCCATCCCCAATTCTGAGGTCCCTTGTTCCCACTTCTTTCTTTCCGTTCTCACCCTTTGCGCTTTAAAACTCAGAATGTGCACCTGTGTCCCACAGGTGACGCACACCCATTTCCCCACCTGGGGTGGAGATTGCTGTGGCCCTGGGGAAGGTGGGCAGGGCCTGGGGATGCGTCAGGGAGAGACAGGGGAAGAGGAAGTGTCTTAGGTCCTGGGGAAGACTGTCTTGTCTTGGTGGGTGGGGACTGCCATTTGTCAGCTTTCTGGACACACAGAAACACACAAGATGGACTTCCTCCGGCTACACCTCCCTGGGCTGCATCAGGCCTTGAGGGGGGCACTGGTGAGAGGGGCAAAGAGATGCCAGAGACTTTCACCCCATTCCCTGTGTCTTCACCTTCCCTCCTCCCTTTGAACCTCTCCTCAGATTAGAGGTTCCTTTCACAGGGCCAGACAGTTTCCTTGACCAGTTCTTTCTGGGCTTTAATCTCTTACTTCCCACAAGTGCATCCAACACCCTCAGTCTAGGAACCTTCTCATTCCTTCTGCAGATCCTGTTCTCCCTGTCTGCCCAGGTCCCTAATCCGCCTGCCTTACTGTGGGCTCCTCTGGCCCAGGGCCCCCAGGGAAGGGGCCGGGCCTGGCCTTCCCTGCATGCCTTGACCTTCTCCACTCTTTTCCTCTAGGATTCCTTCAATGCCTTTTTGTCCTACCTCATAGGAGATGAGGTCCCCACTGTACAGCAGGAGGCACAGGTAGCCAAAGAACTGCAGGAGGTAGCAGCAGGAAAGCCAGAGAAGACTGTAGAGGAGGAAGCCCAGGAGGCCCTGGAAGGCCTTAGAGACCGCCGGAGCCAGGGGTTTGGGAAGCCAGGAGGGCCTGGAGAGGCTGGGAGATGCCCAGAGGGAAGCTCTGCTGCAGAACAGACCTGGGGCTGGGGAAAAGGTAGCTCCCAGGGCTCTCAAGCAGACAGGCAGGACACTGAGACCGGGGAGGCAGCCAGGGCTTCTGGGGACCAGCAGTCAGGTACACGCCTGGAGGCTGGGAAGAAGTCTGAGGCAGGGTCCAGGGCTCAGCAAGACAGGAGCGGTCACTCCAAGGAAGGACAGGAGCCTGGTGAGCAGGAAGTGAGCAGAGGGGAGACACCAAGAAACTGGGAACATGAGGAGGAGGAGGAGGAAGAGGTCAGGGTGACAGAGCCAGGGATGGCCAGGGGGGTGGAGTCAGAGTGGACCTGGCACCAAGAGCCTGAGGTGAAGGCAGGCAGTAGCGGGCAGAAGGTGGCAGGGGACAGCAGGGAGACAGAGCAAGTGGTTTCCGAGATAGCTGCAGAAACTGAAAACTTTGAGGTCAGAGGGCCTGGGAGGGAAGAAGAGGGGGTGGTAGTGGTGAGGAATGGCCAAAGCATAGGGACACAGGGGACAGGGGTAGTAGAGTCTGAGGACCGGGCAGCCTTGGGCAGAGAAGAGGCCAGAATAACTTCCTCAGACAGGGAGCAGGTCGGGGCTGCTTTAGCCAGGGAAGAGTCTGACCTCCCAGGAGTCAGGGAGACCGAATATGGGCCAGTCCCAGGAGAAAGGATCCCAGAAGTTACTGGGATCAAGATTCAAGAAGAGGTGAAGGGAGAGACTGAAGTGAAGCTTTTCCCCCAAGAGACTCAGGTCCTGGGCACTGAGGAAACAGAAGAGGCAACTGAGGGCCAGACAGCAGGGAGGGAGGCAGAAGGCCCCGAGTCAGAGGAGGAGGCAGGGGAGGGCTTTGAGGGGGACATCGATCAGCACGGGAAAGAGGCTGAGGGGAGGCAAGATGAGCAGATCAGGGCTGATGGAGCTTGTCTGGAGGAGGAGGAGGAGGTACAAGCCAAGGGGGACTGGGAGGAGGAAGGGAGTTGCCTGGTCACAGAGGCTGAGCTGGCCCTGGACAAAGAGGATCGAGGTGATGATGACTTGGAGGCAGCCCCAGAGGCCAGGCCTGGTGAAGAGTTTGTTGAGGAGAGAAGTAAGGAGGCTCAGAGGAGCCAAGAAACATTGGAGGAGGAGTGGGATGACCTCAAATTCAAGGTCACCAAAGGCCAGGAGCCTGAGCTGATGGGAGGTGTCTTGACCCCAACAGAGCAACCTGAGGAAGGACAGGGGGTTCAGGAAGAACTTGGGAGAGTTTCAGACCTGAGGAAAGAGGAGATGGAGGGGAGGCTGGAGGAACATTCCAGGCACATGGGGTCTATAGATCCTGAGGTCCCTGAGGGAGAAGACTGGGAAAACCAGAGGAGAAGGGACAGGGAAAGTAGTAACACCCAGGAGGAAAAAACAGATACTGAAGATGAGGAGGAGGAGGCTACAGGAGGTCAGGCACTGGAGGCCAAGGCCAAAGGAGGCTGGGAGTCTGACTTGTCAGAGATCCAAGGATGTGCAGCACAGGAGGGGGAGGGCTTTGTAGCAGAAAACCAGGGGCTGCAGGAAATTCAACGGGAAGAGGCAGAGAAAGACCAGTCACCAGGAGAAACAGAGGCCAGAGAAACTGAGGATAGCGAAGTGGAGGCCTCAGGACCATCGGAGGCAGACCTCACATCCAGGGGAGGCTGGAGGCTGGAGGAGGCAGCTCTCGGGCTCCAGAACCAGGAGGATGCACAGACCAGTTCTTTGGCTCCTGAGATTGTGGAGGATGAGGCAGTCCTGGTTGTGAGGGCTGCTGGGGCTGAGGAAGGGCCAGAATTCCAGGAATCTGGGGCAGTTTGGGTGGGGGAGAATGGGAGAGGCTGGAACTCAGAAGGGAGAGAGGAGGCTGAAGGAGAGGCAGAGCTGGTGGAGGCTGCAGAGGGAGGGAACCGAGGTGGGCAGGATTTGGGCCTAGAAGGCTCAGCAGGGGAGGAGGTGACTGGCAGAGATGGTGAAGCAGAGGCTTTTGAGGCCAGGGCTGGAGATCAGGCAGGGGTGGGGGGACCTGCCATGGTAGAAGGAAGTGGTGGGGTGGAGGGCGTTACCTCAGGCTCCCAGGCAGCAAGAGCAGAGGGCGCTGAAGCCAAAGTGGAGGCTGAGGGGTTCCTGGGAGAGCAGCTGTTGGAAGAGGCTGGGGGCTGGCAAGCCAGAGAGCAGGGGACAGACAGTGAGGGGCAGTGTGGGGACCACCACCCTGAGGGAGAAGGACAAAGGCTGCCGCATGTGGAGGACCCTGGGACTGGAGGCCAGAGGTCAGAGGCCAAGGAGACTGATCCAGAAGGCCTGGAGGATGTTCAAGGCCAGGAGGTGCAGCTGACACAGCAGGGCCTTGTGGAGGCCCTGCCTGGGCCCTCGGACACTGCTGAGGCTGCAGGAAGTGCCAGAGGGGACACTCACAGCAGCTGGTGTGAGGTGAGGGCTCTGGTGAGGTCCAGGGGGGACAAGCCGGATCTAGAAGCCAGCCCACAGAACTGTCTCCCTGCTCCCTTGCAGGCCTTGCTTCCTGGGCCCCTCCTGGATGTCTCCGTCCCGAGGAGCCGCGCCCTCCTCTCCCGAAGCTCCTCACAGCGTCGCTCTCGGCCCTCTTTCCGGCGAGTCCAGGCCTCTGAGGAGCCAGAGGACCCTCCTGGCCCTCAGCCCGAGGAGGGACTGTCAGCACCCGAGCAGAGGCCACTCCAGCTGGAGGAGGCCCCAGAACCAAGCCCCCCGAGACCTGAAGGGACCCCAGTGCCAGCCAGGAGAAAGACTTTGGGACTCGGGTAGGCACAGGGGCACTGGGCTGGGATAGGGTGGAGGCTGTGGGCCTCTGAGGACCAGCTCCCATGCACCTGTCTTCCACCTCCAGGTTTGGCCTGGCACACCCGGGCATGATGCAGGAGCTACAAGCCCGCCTGGGTCGGCCGAAGCCCCAGTGATTGAGACCTGACCTGGCTGAGTCACAGGGCTCCCCGGGGACCTGCTCACCCCTGACTCTCTCTGCCACCTGGATGCATTCTTCCCACCCTCTGGGCCTGGGTTTCTTGGTGTGTCCTTCATGGAGTGAACATAACTAGACATCTGTGAAGACCATGAACTTGAAGAATCTGACTCTGGACCTCCTGTGCCACTGGGACTGCCTCTCTTGAGTTCCTGTCCTGGTTACCTCCCCAACCTGTCTCAGCTACCCAGAAGACTGCGAGGAAAATGGGGGGAATTGGAGACTTTTCCCACAGCCTTCCCTTTCTGACCCCTGCAGACCTCAACCATACCTGGACCCCTCAGAGAGCCATATAGGAGGGGAAGCCCACCCACGGGAAAGAAGTCTGAAGGGCCTCGGGGACACCACTTTGGTCTCAAAGGTCGATGAGCAGCAGGTCAGCTGCCTTGAGTTTCCAAACTGATAGTTCAACTTTGGAACTCTGCTGGTTGCTATGGCAACTGCCAATTGAGCAGGTCACAGTGGGGGAAGGTGGACCAGGACACCCCAAAAACATAGGAGCAGAGAGGGGTTCTGGGTAACCAGAGGCCTCCAGGTCCTTTGAGTGTCCGATGTCCCTTCTGTGAAAAGATCTTGAAGCAAAGAGAGAGTGGGAGGGCTTTATTAGGCACGCAATGTGGCAGCCTGCCCCAAGGATGAAATAATAAATAAACTATCATCTCCCTAAGTAATAAATAAATATCTAAGAAATAAATATCTGGCAAGGACTGGAGGGGCTTTAAGTTATTGGACAGGGTCTGAAGCTAGTCCTGAAGTCCTAAAAGGTGAGGGAAAGGGGCTAAAAGATCGCTCCATCCGGGCTGGGATCTGGGTGTTGAGAGCCCCAACTCAGGCCTGGGTGCCCGGCCTTGGACAGCAACAGCAAATCCCGCACAGCCCGGGACAAGGCAAGCTCCAGGGAGCGCAGCAGCTGGTAGGTGTAGAGCAGCTGGGGCCAGGACACCTGGGCCGACGCTGGAGCAGAGTCCCCTGGAGCCCCTGGGAGCAGCCCCTTCCCCTCCTCCTCTTCCTCCTCCTCTTCTTCCTGGGGCAGGTTGAATCCTGCAGCCAGCACCTAGGAAGACAGATCCGCAGCTCAGACAGTGGGCAGGCGGAGAACCTGAGCAAATCTGAGCCCAGGGGCTCCTGATGACATCAGGCCCCTGGATAACCCCTGCTTCAGATCTTCCATGTCGTCATCTCACGTGTCTTAACCTGATTTTTTGAGCTTAAGAAGATGGAATTTTGTGGGCTGGGTTGTGGCTCAGTGGTAGAGTGCTCACCTCGCATGCATGAGGCCCTGGGTTCGATCCTCAGCCCCCACATGAAAATAAAATAAAGATATTGTCGAAATATGATATGTCAAGAGCTTTGAAATGTTTTGAACAACTAATAATAAAAAAATAAATAAAAATAAATAACTAAATATTGATGTGGCTGTGAAAAAAAATTGTATCCACCTACAACTAAAATATATATATATATATATATATATATATATATATATATGTATATAAAAGAAGATAGAAGTTTGGAGCAAGAGGATGCTCACAGAGCTGGGTTGCCCTGGGGATTGGGGTTCTGGAAGTTCCTCCCTGCCGTTTTGGATTGTCTCAGGATCAGAAATGGTCAGAGGTAGGGTGCAGCCAGTTTATCCGCTGCTTGTGTTTCCATTCCTTTTTTTTTTTTTTAATTTTTTTAGGCGTCAATGGACTTTTATTTTGTTTATATGTGGTGCTGAGAATTGAACCCAGTGACTCACACACGCTAGGCAAGCCCCCTACCATGAGCCATAAGCCCAGCCCTCCATTTCCTTTTTATTAAGACTGAAATTTCTATTGCTCTTAGAAATGGTCAGGAGGATCTGGGTTGTGTCAGAGAACCACAGGGAGAAGGGTTCTGACCTCGCTGCAGGGCCTGCTGATGGCAGTCTGTCCTGGGTAAACCAGCGCCCTTATCTCACTAAAGACCAACCCCCAAAAGAAAGCAGGGACTTGGGTGGCAGAGCCAGGACCCTGTGTAGGACCCTGTGTGGCTACACCCTCCTGCACATTCTCATATACTTGCTCAGAAGAGCACCTCCCTCCAGACTCGCCCAACCTGAGGGCAGGGGGTGTTCTGTAAAGGGAATCAGTGGACCTCAGTTTTGTGTATTGGTCTTAGCGGGTAAAAGAGGGTGGGTGGGCACTCTACCTGGAAGCGGAAATGCCACTGCAGGTCCCGGAGATCTAGCCGCAGGGCCCACAGCTGCATCCTCTCTGAGCTGGTCCAGCCGCCCTGCCTCCCCAGGCCTCCCAGCAGGGCATGGAAGGGCTGAAGCATCATGGAGAGGAAGCAGAGTCGCTCTGGGTCCTGTTGAAGGGGAGGGACAAGGGTAGGTCAAGCATGACCCTACCCAACCCTGGATCAAGCCCAGGCTCATCCCCGCTCCAGCCTCCTGTTTCTATTGTCAGCCTCATCTCCATCCCCATTTCCTTCCTGTGCTCATCAGACTTCCCACCTCCATTGTCTTTGACCTCTATCCCATCTCCTTTCCTGTCCCATGCCCCAACCCCTCTCTAACCCCATCCCGTCCCCATCACTCTTCCTCTGCCACTCCACTCCATTCCCCCATCGTCTCTTCCTGTCTCCTGCACAATTGTTTTCCTTCTGTTTCCAACCTCTTTCCCACCCTCATTCCCATTCCTGGTCCCAGGTGGGTCCTTCCTCCATATGCATTCTCACCGTCTCCCCATCTCATCTCTGACTCCGGTCCCACCAGCCATCTCCATCCCTTCTCCATCCTTCACCTGATGTTTGCCCTCATCCCAACCTTTCTTCTCATCCCTAATCAACCTTTCTTCTCTTCCCACCCCCCAACACCAACTCCATCCCACTCATTCCCAATCCACTCCATTCCTATACCCGGCTTCACTCTTTCCCTCTTCCTAATCCCATTTCCAAATCTCTGCGTATCTTTTTTTTAAATATATTTTTTAGTTATTGATAGGCCTTTATTTTATTTATTTATATGCAGTGCTAAGAACCGAACCCAGTGCCTCACACATGCTAGGCAAGTGCGCTACCACTGAGCCACAACCCCAGCCCTCTGCTTCATCTTTATGTCCAACCACACACTCAATCTCATCCAGATTCTGTCCCCAAATCAATCCCCAACTTGTCTCTATGCTGCCCTGTCTATTGCCAGCTTCCTGGCCCCGCCCCACCAGCCCCCTTCACTCACAGACAGGTGGCGCCAGGCCTGGAAGGTCAAGGAAACGTTGGGGAGCTGCTCTCCCAGGGGCAGCAGGTCCAGCCTCACTCCTGGCAGCCGAGATTCAGCCTGAAGGGTGAAGTCTGTTAGTGGTGGCCCATGGGGGTTGATGGTCTCCTCATCCCTAGAGCCAGCTGCATTAGGGAAAACTCACAAAGCGATGAGCCTGGCCCCGGACCTCGGAGAGCAGCTTCTTGGCAAGATGCAGGCTGACCGTGAACTCCCTGCGCAGCTCCTGCAGGCTCACAGGAGGGCTCCCTGGGGGCCTTGGGAATCCCCAGACACCAGCTTGCACCAGGAGCAAGGAGAGCAGTAACAGGCTGAGCCCTGGAGAAACGAGGAGGGGAGCAAGATGTGGGCTTGGGAAGAACTCAGAGAAGGAAGGGAATGTGACTTTTCCGAGCCTGTGTGATGTGCAAGCCCCAGTGGGAACTTTCTCGGGTATCTTCACACAGCCCCTCCACACCATGATGGGGACCATTGAGGCCACCATATGAAGTCTGCACAAAGTGCTCATTTTTGTAAGCAGACCCAAGGCTGGATCTTGTCTCCCTACTCACTTCCCTGGCCAAGTGCCTTTTCTGAGTGGCACAACTGGTTGCTGTTAATTCTCTCCATTTTGCAGAGGAGGAACCTGGGCTCAATGAAGGGGACTGGCCCAAGTTCAGATAGCAGAGATGGGGGTGGGGAGCCAGGGCTGGATTCCAGATCTGTCCAAACATACAGTCCACTTGCTTTCCCCAGGGACCTCAGAGGAGGCAGCTACCTGGCCCAGGAGTGGGGACTGTCTGTTCTGCCAAGGATTCCTTGGGCTCAGCCAGGTGGCTCTGATGCCTTGAACTGGCTACTAGGGGCCCCAGGGATGGCATGACCTGTGGTTCTATCCTATGTGGTAAGGCCTCCGCCAAGGCTGGGGGTCATTCTGCAGCAGAACCCACCTGGGGCAAGTCTGCAGCATGAGAGTAGGAAGGGCGGGGGTTCTGGGAAGGGAGGGAGGGGGCTTGGCATGGGAGGGGGGCACTCTGTTTCTCATCCTGGTCTTCCTTTGAGCAAGCTGTCTCTCCTCTATGCCTCAGGCCCCCGTCTGCAAAGTGGGGGTCAGACCAGCGGGCATCAGAGGATGCTTCAAACCCTATGTTTTCCTGGAAAGAGGGAAGAGGGGCCACAGGATGGGCGCCCAGGGCAGAGGGCAGTGTTCAGTGGTTTCTCCCTCCGGTGAGGAAATCTAGCCATCATGAAGTTACACAATTGCCATCGAAACTCAAACTAAAAACCAAACCCTGGTCCATCCCCACTCTTGCTGCTCTCCAGGCCCCTTCCCTGTCCAAGGATAATCTCTAATCCCTGCACACTGCTCCTCAAAGTGCCTCTCAGCAAAGGGTAAGAGGAGTTTCTGGGCCACCCACTTCCCCCCATGGACTTCCAGAGGATGTGGGCCACGCCTAAGATCTCTGGTGTTCTGGTTCCTTGGCTTGGGGGCCACTCTGACCCTCTGGCATCCTGGAGACCCAAGGCAGAATAGGCTTCTTCCTAGCTCTATGTTGGGGGCCCAGGCCCTTGTGGTATTGCCTATCCAGATTGATTTGTGTCACCTGTACTTTACTCCTCTTCCTGCCTGAACTCTAGAGTCCCCAGCTGCTCCATACCCTTGTATCCAGTCCTGGGTTCTTGGCTCTGGCCTTCGAAGGCTCGCTCCTCACCCTCAAGCCCTCAGCCCTACCTAGAGGTACCAACTTCTCCTCTGCGTACAGCTCTGGCACCAGCCCCTGAGATCTTTAGCTGCCAGCTGCAGATTGGACCTCCTTCCCACCTTCGGACTAAAGACCTGTGTCCAACTCAGGCTGCTGGTTCCTTACTCTCAGCCCCCATCTGTGCCAACTCACCCTGCTGCACTTCCTCTGACTGGCTTCAGTTCTCAGTCTCAGCCTCACCATCCGCCTCTGGCTCGATTACTTCAAACATCATGTATCTGCCTCATCCTGGTCCTGGTCAAATTGCCTGTCCAGTCCCTCCCATTCATCCCAGCAAAACTGTCCCGCTTGTGCCCTGCCCTGGACCACACCCCCACCCTACTGCTCCAGGCCCCCACCTCACTTATCCCATACTCAGTCCCAGGCTCCAGCGAGCCGGGTCCTTGGTCCTGGCTAAGTTATTGTCCCCATGCCATGAATTCCGTCCACACCAGTCAGCCTTCCCATCCTCTGCCCAGTCTCCCCCAAGCCTCCCGCCCCTCCACTTCAGCCCTGGCTTCCAACTCACGCCAGCCAAGGTCGCCTGCCGTCTGGCCCATGTCAGGGCCCAGCCTCTTTGTCCAGCCATCTCCTGGGTAGGGGGGAGTCTTATACTGGGGGTTGCACCCGGTTTCACTTTCCGTCCTACTTGTACTTTCAACTTTGTATTCGCTTTTCGCCACCCCTTGTGCTAAAATAGGGAAATGTAATTTCCCTTCCCAGAGGGGGTGGGAGGCACGGGGGATGGCGGGAAGCTAGGGTTTCAGTGAATCTGAGCTCCTGGCTTTCAGGTCTAGGATTTTCCTCAGTGCCCCCTTCTGGGGCATGCTGTCCAGCTCTATTTGTGCGTGGGTCCCAGGGACTCAAACCCCCTCCTGCTTGTCTGCTCTGTCACCATCACCCGGGAGCCATCACCAGTCCACTGTCCTTCAAAAGATGGATGGCCAGGTAAGGGGATTGCCCACCAAAGGGGACTAGGGGTTCTGAGTCATCCTCATCCTCTCTGTTTTACCAGATGGCTGAGGGGGGTGTGTGCATGAGAGGGATGTCAGATTTCAATGGTGGCTGGAATGAGTATTGGTGCAAGGTGGGTGGGGGCTGGGTCTGATGATATCAGGGATGGCATCAGAGCTGTCTATAAACTGGGGTCAGAGGGGATGAGACCCAGGCCCAAGAACATGTCTGGGACTAGGATTGGCTCCATCCAAGGTCAAGGGCTCAGTCTTTGGCCAGAATCAGATATAGGATTAAAGCTCCATCATATCCAGGGTCAGGATTTGGTCTAGGGCTGGTTTCCGAATCTAGTCTGGGACCCACATCCTGAGTCTGTTTGGGGTCAGAGCTACCCATGTCCTGGGGCTCTGCTCTGGTCAGGGATAGGCTTGTTGAAGGCTAGGACCAGGGTTCAGCTCGTGGCCAGGGTGGGGTTGTGTGAGGTCAGGATCAGGGTTCGGCCAGAACCCACAAGAATCCCCGTGCTTCTGAGCTGGGCTACATCAACCAGCGGTCTCCCTTCCAGCACAGCCCCGCCCTCAGCCCCACCCTGGATTTCCCATCTTCAGGGAGGGGATGGGGTTTCTTGGTCTTCCCCAAGACCCACCGCTGCCGCTTTCCTTTTAGGACTTGTGGGGTTTCCCTGCTGGGTCCCTGCTATGAGACAGAAACCAAGGGGGCTTCCCCTTCCCACATCGCAACTCCTAAGCTCTGCCTGGGCACTGCCCATCAGGGCTGCCTGAAGGACCGAGTGCCAGGAACAAGGAGCGGCTGCTCTGGGAGCTGATCAGAGGTTCGCTGGGGGAGAAGAAGGAAACCAGCCTGGAGCATCCTGGTCAGACGGGTTTCCTTGCAGCGCCCCCTAGCGGTAGAAGCTCCTTCCTCCATTTCCCAAGCAGCTGGGGCTCCGTGGTGCAGGACTGGGGACGTAAATCTCAAGGATGGTGAGGACAGATAGAGCACTGGCTGGTCATCCATGCATTCCCAAGTCCTTTCTGTCACCCTGGAGCCATGGCCACCCCTCGCACCCCCTTGAGCATGTGGTCTTCCCTCCATCTGAAACTGCTGCACTTCTCAAATCTTTTCTCTCTCTCTCTCTCTCTTTCTTTCTTTCTTTCCTGGGGATTGAACCTAGGGATGCCACATCCCCAGCCCTTTTAATATTTTATTTTGAGACAGGGTCTCACTAAGTGGCTCAGGGCCTCGATAAACTGCTGAGGCTGGCTTTGAACTTATGCTCCTCTGACTTCAGCCTTCCAAGTTGCTGGGATTATATGTGAGAACCACTTCTTAAATCTTGAACCCCCTCTCCCCATCTCTGATTACAATCTCCTGGGCCCCTGACCCTCATTGCTTCTTCTGCCTTTCTCTTGGCTGTAGCTAATTCCTCCGGCCTCACCCTATTCTAGCTCTGGTGACTTTGTGGTCAAGTTTGAACACTCAGCTTTCTCTTTGTTAAAGCTGCTCTCTCTGCTAGAATGTCTGCACTGCCTTCTTTTTTTCGGGCGGGGGGGGGGGGGGGGTACTAGGGGTTGAACTCAGGGATGCTCGACCTCTGAACCACATCCCCAGCCCTATTTTGTATTTTATTTATAAACAGGGTCTCACTGAGTTGCTTAGTGCCTTGCTTTTGCAGAGGCTGGCTTTTGAACTCAGGATTCTCCTGCCTCAGCCTCCTGAGTCACTGGGATTCCAGGAGTGTGCCACTGTGCCCGGCTCCCACTGCCTTCTTGGTGTCCCTCTCCTCAGTCTTCCCTGCACACATACCCTGGTCACTTGGCTTCACTGATAAATGGCTCATGCTTCTTACCACAAATCTTGTCTCAAGTGGACATTTCACATGCTCTGTGTCTTGTCCCCTTTACCCTCCTCGTGCCTCATAGAACATCAAGCCTGCTCCTGCCTCAGGCCTTTCTTTATACTTGCTGTTCCTTCTGTCTGGAACATTCTTCTGGACATCCGTAGAGTTCACTGTCTTCCCTCCCTGCTCCAATATCACCTTCCCAAGTGGTGGAATTATATAAAATATAATTATATAAAAATTATAATTATATTTATATTTTTGATATCTAACATTCATCCTTTTATTTTGTGGCATGCCTTAGACTCCGGGTTCCAGGAATGTGGGAATTTGTGCCTGTTCAGTGCAGTGATGTGTCCCCAGAAGCCAATAAGAGGAGCCTCTTAATTAATCATTTTTGAACAAATGTGTTTCTGCCACAAATGCCCGATCCAGGTTCTGCTGGTGGCTGGCCACATGTAAGTCACCTAGAAGGAGCAGCAAGACAACTAGCCTGAGATATGAGGTCATATTCAACTTCTGCTCCAGCCTAGGCTTGGACCCCACTGCGACAGGGATGGGAAGGGGCAACTGGGCTGCTTGACATGGCCCTAGGATGGAGCAGACTCTTGGCAAGAACTCAGAGGGTCACTGAAAACAGGGCCAGCCTCTGTTCAGATTCTTGGAGGATGGTTCCAGACTAGTCTCCGGCTACCTGGGCCTCGTTTCACAAGTTGTTCTCGGTTGATGGACTGTGACTTGGGCCAGAGCCAGCGGGCAAAGAAGGGGATGTGGTGAGGGGTGAGAACTGGTAGGAAGGAAACTGAAGGCTGGGGTGTGGACTCTGGTGTGGAGCTGGCCCTGCTGATAACCTCAGGTGAGTCACTGGCCTGCCCTGGACCTCAGTGTCCTCGTGAAAACGTGACAGCGATCTTCAAGGGCTGCTACTATGACTACACAGAGAAACTAAAGCCTGGATGTTGAAAACAGAAAACAACCATCTAGATTTATTTTAGGGTTGTACAGGGTGTACAGGCGAGGCGGCGTAGGCGTATAATTCCAGTGACCTGGGAGGCTGAGGCAGGAGGATCTCAAGTTCAAGGCTAGCCTCAGCAACTTAGTGAGACCTTGTCTCAAAAAAATAAAAAGAGTTGGAGATGGAGCTCAGTGGTAAAAGCACCCCTGGGTTAAAAACAAAACAACAGCAAAAGATCATCCATAAGAGTTTCTGTTGGGGCACTCCAGGGGGTTGGTAGAAATCCAAGCTCAGGGGCAGCAGAGATGCTTCAGAGCTGATTGCAAGATAGCCTGGGGGGATGGGGAGGCTTTGCTCAAGACCCACAGCAGATCCAGGACAGAATGGAGACTGGAACTCCTGGTTTGGGTGAGGGAGGGGAATCCCTACACTCTCTGATGTCAGCTCCAAGGCTTGAACTGGCCCTCAGCAAAACCGAGATGGCCTGGGGTGGAGGCAGATAGGCTGGCTGGAGCTGGGCCTCACATGCAGGCTCCCAAGCCCAGGTGGAGAGACCCTGGGGCTAGGACAGCTCCCTCCCCCCAGAAGAGGAGTAGTAGATAAAGCCCAAAGCCCCTCCCTGGGTAGGCAGTCCCCTCCACCTTCATCCCATGCGAGTCCTGCTGCCCATCGGGTTGAGTCTCTCTTTTTTGTTGCTGGGATGGAACCCAGGGCCTCCTGCGGCTAGGCAAGGGCTCCACCACTGAGCCCCACCCCAGCCCCACCAGGATGCCTACTGCAGTTATCCTCACAGTGTCACCTCAGCCCCGTCCTGTCCACCTGGAGGGCAGCTCTAAATTCAGCTGCTGTTGTGGGACTTGTGACCCTGGAGGGCGAGGGGACAGGGCTTACTTTTTTCCCTGCAAGGGGTACTTGTACCTGCTATTCTCCCAGCGACGGTGGGCACCCGGGGAGGGCTGGAGGAAGGCGGAGGGGAGGTGCTCTTCCCATGAACCAGATGTCCATCACCAGGTGTTCTATGGCACTGACTTGAAGGTAGGGCTGGAGGGACTGAGCTACCAGAATCAGGAGAAGAGGGTGGGAGGCCAGGTTGGCCGAGGGTGGGGAAGGACGCCCAGGAGGCTGCGGCTGCTCAAGAGAAACACCAGCCTTGGAATGAAAAGTCCCAGTTCAAGTCCCAGCTACGCTCTGCCCTTTCCTGGGTCGCCCTCCTGGGCAAGGCTGATGCAACACTGCCCTTCAGTTTCCCCACCGTAGAACGAGGCCCACTCTCCCCTCCCTGGCACCTCTCGGTCTGAGCATGGAGATGAACTTGGGAAGGGTCAGGGCCCTGGCTGGGGAGTCAAACAGATTTACATTCCGACTCTCAGAGGTCCAGGGGGACTCTGGTCACAGCATGGCACTCCCTGTGCTGGGCTCATCTACCAGGTGACGAGGTCCCTCGTTCCAGTGAGATAGACTCTTGTGACAATCATGCACATAAAACGGCACTGTCACTGAAAGCTGTGTGATCTTAGGCAGCTGTAGTTTCCTCCTCTGTGAGAAAAAGAATACAAACTCATAACTGTCGGGGGCTCACTGAGCTGTTGTGTGTGGAGCCCTCAGAACAGGGCCTGGCTTGCGGGAAGATGCTGGGTTTCGGCTATTATTAGTAGTACAAGCTCTGACCCACAGGAAATGCTAGTTGTCATAATGCATCTGAAGGGGAGCTGGGGGAAGGAGGTCAAGAGAGAAGAGGCTACAGGGAGAGTTTAGGAAGGGGAAACCGGGGTAAGGAGGGGGTGCAGGCCAGGGAGGAGGAGCCACAGGCAGAAGGGGGCTGGTGACCCCAAGATGTAAGTCAGAGTAGAGATCAGGCTAGAAGCGGATATCTCGGGGATCCAGCCAGCCAGGTCCTGGGCTGGGGTGAGGAAGCCTCAGATAGGAGGCCCGCTGTGTGGCACTCAGCTCCTGGGCCAGATAGGCAAGGCTGTCCCCTATACTCAGGAGCCCCCAATTACCCTTCAGCAGACCCACCTGCAGGCTTATCATCAACTTCCCCATGGAACCCTCTTGGTCCTGCCCCTTGCTTTTCTTCCCTCTATTCTCCCTCTCTGGCTCCTGGCTACCTGCACACACACAAGGCACACTCCTACCACAGGGCCTTTCCACCGCTGTTACCACTGCTTAGAACACTCTTCCCTTGGCTCTTCATATAACTGGCTTCTTTTTCCTCCTTCAGGTCCTGTCTCCTGATAAACACCTTTGTTACTCTATGTCTAGGAAGACTGTCCCACTCCATTTCTGCCTGCCTGAACACCCTGTGTACAACCCTAAAATAAATCTACATGTGGGTCTCTTAGCCTCTCAATTTTTCTACACATTCTGGGCCATTGCCAGATTCCTGGAGTCTTCTCCAAACCTCAAGTTTCCAAAACCTCCCTCATCAGACATTCAGATCCTGTTGGCAATGTTGAGACTATCAACTTCCACTTGCTCCTCTTTCTCTACTGAAGTGGAGCACGTGGGTAGAGAGGGGAAGATGTAATTGAGGGCTTGGTGCTGAGGTGTGGGAACCATGGTCCTTGCCCACAGAGATGACCCAGCTGAGAACACAGGTGGTGTGTGGGGAACCAGAGCCAGCCAGAAAAGGCAGGGCAGAGTTGGTAAGTTGCTGGAGTACCCTGAAAAGCCACATTCTGGTCTTCCTTCCTTCTCCTGGAGAAGGGACATAGCATACTTTACTTGCAGAGAAACCCAGAGTGCATGAACACGGGCTCTGGGCTTGTAGAAACTGGAAAATGCTATCAGTACAGGTCACTTATCACTTATCCAAGATGCTTGGGACTGGAAGTGTTTTGGATTTCAGATATTTTTCTGTATATTGCACATACAGAATGAGATATCATGGGGGATGGAACCCAAAACTCAACATGACATTTATTTGCATTTCATATATGCCAATTTTCCACTGTAGCATCATGTCAGCACTCAAGAGGTTTGGGATTGGGGATGAGGGTGGAGCTCAGTGATCGACTGCTAGTTTGGCCTACGAGAGGCCCTGGATTTGATCTCCAACACTGAAAACAAACAAGCAAACAAACAAACAAACTGGGATTTTTGGATTTCAGAGTTTTGACTTAGGGATGCTCAAACTGGACTGAGAAGTCACAAAGCAAAAATTGTCAACCAGGGCCTGGGGATGTGGCTCAAGTGGTAGCGGGCTCGCCTGGCATGTGTGAGGCACTGGGTTCAATTCTCAGCACCACATAAAAATAAAATAAAGATATTGTGTCCACCTAAAACTAAAAAATAAAATATTAAAAAAAAAATTGTCAACTGGCCAGAGGTGAGAGGGTGTGGAAAGAAGAGCATTGTCTGGAACCTGGCTTATGTGTCTTTTCCACATGCTCACCTAGTCCTCCTTTTTAAATAAAAAAATAAGGGCTGTGGGGATAGCCCGGTGTTAAAGTGCTTGCTAGCATATGTGAGACCCTGGGTTCCATTTCAGCAACACAAAAATCACTCACTCAATGTATAAACCAACAGCCATGCGCGGTGGCATTTACCTGTAATCCCAGCCGCTCAGGAAGCTGAGGCAGGAGAATCACGAGTTCAAGAGCAGCCTCAGAAATTTAGCGAGACCCTAAGCAACTTAGCAAGACCCTGTCTCTAAATAAAACAGAAAAAGGGCTGGGGATGTGGCTCAGTGGTTGAGTGCCCTGGGTTCGATTCCCAGTACCAAAACGAAAGATATAAATCAGATAGATAAATAGATCAATAAAATAAAGCACTGGGTTTTCTTTGGGGAATCAAACTTGCTCAGGGACTGCCGTTCTACCATAGTGGACACAAACCAGGCCCAGCCAGTCAGGGTGACCCATACCCCTCGCTATAGTGAATGGTTCAGGGATGGACATGTGAATCTGAAAATCAGCTCTGGGATTTAAGGAAAGAAGCCCTCTCTCTCTCTGTAGGCATTGCTGAACTGATGGAAGGACGTGAACCCGACTCTGTTGGGAGATGCCATGAGGCAAGAATTTTCGTCAGACTGGAGCTGGCACGTGAGAAAGCAGAGCCAAGTTTTTTTAATTGTCAATGGACCTTTATTTTATTTATTTATATGCAGTGCTGAGAATCGAACCCAGTGCCTCATACATGCTAGGCAAGTGCTCTACCACTGAGTCACCATCCCGGCCCCATAGACAAGAATCTTGATTATTATTTACTTTGAGCTCTTATATCCAGCCATTCTCCAAGTATTTACTTCTGAAATGTTGTTTCACAAAGTGATCTTTTTCTTTTTGGTCCATGCTAGCTTGAGATCCAGTGTTTCTGCCATTTACAGCACATGTCCCTCTGCCCTGTTTTGACCCACTCTTCTAAACTGATTTTCCAATGTTGAAAATCACAGGCTAGCGGGGCATGGTGGTGCACACCTATAATCCCAGATACTTGGGAAGCTGAAGCAGGAAGATCACAAGTTCAAGTCCAGCCTGGGCAACTTCTGGTCTCGAAACAAAAAGGGCTGAGGATGTGGCTCAGTGGTAGAGCACTTTCCAAGCATGCGTCAGGCCCTGGGTTCAATCCCCAGTGTTACCAAAAATATATAAATAAATGATAATATTTTTTTAAAAAGAAAATTTCAGGCTAGATAAAAGAGCATGAAAAAGTCCAACAGTATTTTGTAGTAAAAGGGCACTGTGTCAGAAGCCAATGAAGAAAGTATTTCAAAGAGTTAAAACTGAGAAGATGCTCAGTCGATATTTACAAAGCACCAACTCAATATGTCCTTGTCATTGTTCTAGATATTAGAGACACAGCAGTGAATATCTCTTCCTTCTTGGAGGAAGCTCTACCTCCTTGGAGTTTATGTCAAATATAATAGGATTGCAAGTAAAATCTGAACAAGTGCTTATACATGCTATGCACTTTTTAACTACTGGTTCATTATCTCCTCAAAATAATCCTAAATTCTGTAATCCTAGTGGCTCAGGAGGCTGAGGCAGGAGGGTCACAGTTAGTAGTCAGCCTCAGCAACTTAGCAAGCCCCTAATCAACTATTTTTTAAAAAAATATTTTTAGGGGGCTGGGGTTGTGGCTCAGCAGTAGAGCACTCGCCTAGCATGTGCAAGGCCCTGGGTTCAATCCTCAGCACCACATAAAAATAAATAAATAAAGGTATTGTGTCCAACTACAACTAAAAAATTAAAATTAAATATATATATATATTTAATTTTAATTTTAGTTGATCTAAGCCTAATTTGTTAAATTTTTTTAATTTAGTTGATCTAAGCCTAATTTGTTAAAGATATTTTCAGATTTGATAAAAAATCAAGACCCAAACTGTGCTGTCTATTAGAAACCTATTTAAATATGAAGAATTATGTAGATAAAAATAAAGGAATAAAACTACTGTAGGAAAAAATATTTTTAGTTGTAGATGGACACAATACCTTTATTTACTTATTTTTATGTAGTGCTGAGAATCTAATCCAGTGCTCACAAGTGTCAGGCAAGAGCTTTACCACTGAGCCACAACCCCAGCTCCACTAATCAACTATTTTTTTTTGGGGGGGGCGGGGGTACCAGGAATCGAACTTAGGGGCACTCAACCACTGAGACACATCCCCAGTCATATTTTGTATTTTATTTAGAGTCAGTGTCTCACTGAGTTGCTTAGAACTTCGCTAAGTTGCTGAGGCTGGCTCTGAACTCGCAGTCCTCCTGTCTCAGCCTCCCAAGCAGCTGGGGTTACAGGTGTGTGCCACTGCACTGGACCCTAATCAACTATTTTGACCCTGTCTCAAAATAAAACATAAAAAAGGCTGGGGATGTGGCTCAGTGGTTAAGTGCCCTTGGGTTCAATCCCCAGTATCAAAACAGAAAAACAATAACAACAAAAACAAAACAAAAAGTCTGCCCCTTAACAACTGACCCACATTGCCTATAATGAGTAAATATGGGAATGAGGAGAGGCCAGAAAACAGAGCTAAAGCATTAAGGACAGCAAGAAATCCTGAGTCCCGGTCTAAATGGTGTCAGATTTCCATCTCGATCCTTCCTGTTTATTCTGAGAGTGGAATGAACCCTACTCACCCCGCCCCCTACCCCATGGCCTAGCAGGACCTATCTGTGTTCCCAGCACTGGGGATATGACTATGATGCCTATGGTGGCAAAAGTCAAAAGGATGCAGGGGACAGAGAGTCACAAGAGCAAAAGAGAGCAAAGTGTGAAACCCAAGAAGTCCCCCAGCCCCGTGGGACACTGCATGATCTGCAACCAGGAATCTTTTTTTTTTTTTTTTTTATTGGTTGTTCAAAACATTACAAAGCTCGGAGTCTCATGACCTTCCTCCAAGTTCTGATATTGCTTCCCGGTCCAGGTGTAGGAATGTGAATTCAAGCTTTCTCAATATAAACACCCTGGAGCCCTCAGGAGCAAAGATGCAGATAAGGGCAGGGGCCTGGCCTTCAGGGAGGAAGCTGGGTAGAGGTTAAAGGTCAGAATTACATCAGGCTCCCCCTGTGCACCTCCTCTGACCCCCATCCAGTCTCACCATCCAGGAGACTGATCTATGGGCAAACTAGTTCTTATTCACCAGGGTCTTCGGGGCAGAGCTGGTTGGTAGGACTTGAATGTCCTCACCACCATTCTTGTTGGACTGAGAGGTGAGGTCAGAAGTGAGGAGGCGGGTCAACTCAAATGGAAGCAGCCAAGTGACACCGACTCCCAACCTCCACTTCGCCCCTCTCCCGAGCCTACAGCTTCACCTCAGGTCGCTTTCCATAACCCCGTTACCCTCCCACAATTAGGCGGCTAGTTTCCCAAACGCTTCCGCCCACAGCCGGGCAGCGGCTTAGGCGCCATGATATGACATCATCCATGAGCGCACGGCGTTCAGAGCCGGAGCCGTCACAGCTCCCGGCAGGCACCGCAGAAGATCCCCCTGGCATGCTGGGACTTGTAGTTCTGCGTGTGGAGTCGTGCATCAGCCCTCCCAACCAGAGGTTTGACCTGAGGCATCGACAGAGGCTAGGGTGGCCCAAAACAGGGATTCTTAGTCCTAGGTCTCCAGAGTGCACAGTTTGAATCTGGAAAATTATTCATATTTTGTATTTTATTTAGAGTCAGTGTCTTACTGAGTTGCTTAGTGCTTGGCTAAGTTGCTGAGGCTGGCTCTGAACTCGCACATCCGGGGCATAATCTACAAAGGTTCTTTCCCTTTCTGAGGCGGTAGACAGCCCTGGTACCACGGGAAATAAACCTACTCGGAAATCTTGAGGCTAACCTTGGCAACTTAGCGAGACCCTGTCTCAAGATGAAAATTGTTAAAAATAAAAAAAAGAGCTGGGGT